AGTTACCGTACTCCGTTTTGGCAATCGCCTTTAAAATCACGGTCGAAGCCCTTTGAATGTCCTGAATAGTGTCGTAACGCTTCCTTTTCATTGCCAACTTGAATTTTGGGAATAGCCAGAAATCGCACGGAGCTAAATCAGGCGAATGCGGGAATGTTCGAACACTGTGATGCCATTTCTGGCCAAGAAATACAATCTTGGATTTGTGCGGCGATGCATTATCATGCAAAAGCGACCCTTGCCCTCTCGGTATTCAAACCGAACTCGAAGAATCCTGTTCCACAAGTGATTCAGAAACTCAAATAATAATCAGCATTGACCGTTTGATCTTCTGTTATGAATTCCTCGTTTCGTTATGAAAAATAATTTATCATCGACCAATTTATCATAGGCAATGATACTTTTTTTGTGAGGATTAAACGCGCTGCGCGGTCAAAATTTTCTTTTGAGATAAATAACAAGTTCAATTGCCGATGCGTAACACACAGTCGCATTTGCGCGTGTCGCAAAGACATATTTACCGATTTGTCTCGTGTGAAAATTAATTAATCGACAGAAGTCGCAGGTTAGAGACAAGCGATTACGATGGTTGATATAATTACAGCATGCGCACGTAAAACAGCGACTATATAAAAAAAATTAGTATCTCGTGGCGCGATAAGAACCCACGAGAGACTTGATTACCCTGTTCGCATCCGACGAATCTTCCTTTGTCGCGACCCTAACGCTCCACGCGACTTATCGCCGACTTATCGTCATCCATAAATAAACGCGAAGAAGCCTTTCTCCCCGTGCGGCCGACGACGTTCTTTTGAGCGTACGTAGCCAGGATTTAACACGGTTGTCTCGCTTTTTCCATTCTGCTCGCGCACAACGCGAACGGCGTCGGGTACGTTTTACGCCTCCGTTTCTGCACGATGCTTTTCCGTCTTTTTGTTTCCGTAAAGGCGCTCTCGTCACCGTAATGCACGAGCCGTTACCGCGAGGCCTTTCATCGAAATAAATATACCGGAAGCGGCGGGACGGTTTTATACGGAATTGGCGGGGGTCCCTGCTCGGCTCGTACCGTGCATTTATCTCGCCTCTGCGGGGGAACGGCTCTCCGAGAGTGCCGTAGGGACGTCAAAGGCCTTAAAACGTTTCGATTTTCATGCGTTTCCCTGCGTACACGCCTTCCAGAACACGTCGACTCGCACCGACCGAGTCCGCGGGATTTACTCACGTCGTATTTGCTCGCTCTCGCAGCAACGATAACGTAACGTTTCTGAGGCTGATTGGCATTTATTAAAACGCGATCCATTAGAGCACGTGAAAATGTTCCCTTAAAATAAGGTTCCCGGTCGTTAAGTCGAACGTGTGTTACGTCAGTCGGTCCCCCCCCGGGTGCGCGCCACTTCCGCGATTTAATCAAGCGTTGTCGAAGATAAATCATCAGACCGTCCTAAGTTTAGACCCTCGTAAATTGCGAGGGCTAACTCGGCCTACGCGATGAAACGTCTCTGTCCTGAGCGGCGTAAACACGCTCGAGGACTCGTTATAAACATAAAAAGGAAATAAAAACTTGTAGTATCGAGAAGGAATTGTCTAGGTTAGTGCACTGAGAGAAAAATACAGTTATTTTCAGGGACAACAATATCTTTTTTTCATTTCAATCGCAAAAATAATCGAGAGAACTATTTTTCTAGCAAGTGCTACTATAGTGTTAGCGACAATAACCTTACGTGCACGTTGCTACTGCTATTTTTGTGGTTAAAATAAAGAAAGGATATTGTTGTCCCCAAAAATAACAATATTTTTTCTCTCAGTGCGGGTAAAAGCTGAAATAGTTCACAATTATCTGACGACAAATTTATTTCTCCCGTATTTATGATTTTCCATTGATTATTTAATTGACACTATCGTCGTTTCACGTGGAATTTTTCGACGTTCCTAAAGTGGTATGTCCGATAATACAATGATTTTGCGCGCTTAATTCGATTGCGTCCACGGAGCGCTACTTCGTAGTGAACGTGCAACTTTACTAACTTACAATATGTGCCTTTGAGGTGGCTAATAATACTAAAGCTAAGTAACTGTAACGTGCTAAATTATTCGTTTCGGAAGAGAACTCTCGGGATTACTTACCGAATCTTCTGCGAAGTATCGCGAAAGTCTTTTACGTCAGTTTCGTAATGGATGAAGTATTCTACCAGACTCGCGCGAAATGATTTTCAACCGCAGTTGAAAATCCCGTCTACTTCTTGCGGAACTGTCGTGTATTATCGATGCTGCGATAACAAAACTATCTGGAAGTTTTCTCGCGATAATAGTATACGCGACGATAGATTACGCTTTTCTTCGAACACGACGCATTGCGAAGCACACAGCGGATGGAAATGTTGGAAAGAAACTACATGTCCGATTTGAAATGTGGCCAGATCCAGTTTATCTGGATATCTATTGTCTGGAACATGTGCTACCTTCTGTTAACACAGATTTTTGTGAAAGAATTTGTAACTCATACTTTCTAATTTCGTTCCTACGTGTCTCGCGTAAATTGAACATTTGAAAATATAAACACTAATTTAAGTACATCTACAGCGTTAAAGATAAATCAATAGTATGTATTGTTAACAATAATTAATAATGTTATTATTTGACATTTCCCCATTGATCTTTCAAGTTTAACTGAATTTGTAGGGTTAATGTAGAAGCAAAATTTCGACTCGGTTATAATGTTTCTCAATCTTACAATCCGCGACTTTTAAAACTGCGAATTCTTAATTAACCTACCATTTATTATTTTTATGCTCACTGTGAGACACTCGATTATTCTTATGAAAAATGGAGATATGGAGGAAACGTTCGTTTATTTTTAACTTACCCGTAGATCTCTCTCGATGAAACGTAGAATATATTATTACACTTTAACCAAACAATTTAATAAAAATATTGGTAAACGCAGCACGCGTGTGCTTCGAGTCGAGTCGTACGTATTCGGTACGGCATTTCGATTAACGTTCATCAAAACGTCCAGTACGCAACACGCGACGATAACAATCCCTTGTGTCGTCGTCCATTTTTGACGTGTTGGCAACTTTTCGGATAATTGTTGTCGTTAGTTCTGGCGCACGGTGAATTTTTAGTGCCGATAAATCCCGTCAGCGTGACACGAATCCGTTTGCTATCAAATAAAGGACAAAATCCCCCCCCCCCCAGAATCTCTCATAGCTCGAATTATTGTATTTATTTTACTTGTTCTCTAATGCGATAATCAGCTTTTACGTGTACGTCCGGTGTCGATTTTACGTTAGATGTCTTGCAGAACTACGATTTCACGAGCTTGTCGTATGGGTCAATTTTTTTCCTCCCTCCAAAATTCCCGGTTTTATTAAACGGAAATATGAATTACGACGGGAGATTTTCACTCGCGTATATGTATAGTCGCCAAAAACAAACCGCAAAATAAGTTAACTCCCCTACACTCAGCCAGTCTTGAAATGTACACCCGTACATAAAGTGGACTTGGGGTTCAACCGCACTGACCGCAGGGTGATTTCGCGAACTCGCAACGCGAGCTTCCCGGCGTCGCAATATTCCCAATTTTCACATCCTGAGCCGTTCCACGTATTAGGAGAGCACGATATTCATAACGCGCGAACGTTGTTATGCGAGGCGAACTTGGAATATTGCAACGCTTTGAAGTTTCATTGTGATAAAAGCAGCTCCGCATAAAAGGCTGTAATTAATTATGAAACATGCGAGGACGCGCGCGTGAAACGATATATATATATATATTACGGAATGAGAGAAGCGAAAGGCTGCTCCTTTAAGGCTGCTCGTTATTTGTGCCGGTGTCGTTTTTGATAATGTTAGCAAATAGGGCAATAACAGCAGAGCTGACCTTTGTACAGACGTTATGGATACGTTCGCTCGTTTTGGATTTCGCTTGATTTGATTTCACGCTAGAAAACGGGGCGGTGGGTATGGCATTTTAATACAGGCTGGAGATCTCGGGGAGAGATCGAGAGGAAAATAATTTTTCCGTCGTTGTGAAACGTATAAATATTCATAATGCAACGGTTCGGTCAATTTGCTGTCATATTGCTGCGACGAGCAAGCGCGAAATTTTAAACATGAACGCAAGGTCCCAAAACATTAAACCCTTCTTCTTCACATCCTATTTCCCTTTCTTCTTTCCTTTTTAAGCTTTTATCAAAACTCATTTGCCTCAATCAAACTATAAAACCGCGAGATCTTGCTAACTTCGTTTCCGATAGTTGGCCAGGGAACAGGGCCATGAAAGAAACACGGTTTGCAAGCCATAGCAGATACGTAAAGCGAGTTACGCGCCGAGTGACGAATGGTCCCCGAGTCCTGCTGCGATTGCCGCAAAGCGGGATACGAAACTTCACAGCCTGGAGAAACGCCGTATTCCCGCGAACTTCATACGCGCGATTGCCTCTTCGCTTCTATCAGCGATTACCTTATCTTCTTCCCTCCTCCTTCTCCTCTGGCTCGGGAAAGAAAAAAAGGTAGAGAAAGAGAAAGGAAAAACGAAGAAACACGGATCAGGATAGTCAAAGTGACGCGTAAAACGAATTCGACGTTTGTTTGATCGTTGCAACTTCGCGGATTATGCCTTCTCTTCTTCCGACTCCGTCTTCGTTTCTACACCCCTTCGTCCACGCCGTGATCCTCCGCGGTGCCTCTCTCGCGCGGCCCTACCATCCCTCCGGGCGGCACTTTATTCCACTCTCGCCCCGACGTGAAGTGGGTGGCCGCGCGGGGTCGATGGGTGCACACGGGGTGAGCGCGGGTGGGATGCGGTGGCACCGTGGGACTCGAGCGCCGCGTTCTCTGCGAGGGGTTGCGTGGGTGGGTGGCGGCAGGCAGGGAGGGAGCGGACGTGGAAGGGGTAGATGGTCGTTTCCCCACCGCATCCCCCACTTCGCCGAGCGCCGCACGGACGCCAACGTCGAGCGCTTTCGAGACGTTAAGGCCGACACTCGCGTCGCGCACCTCGACCCGACGACGTCGCCCGCGACCGCGGAGGCACACACGTGCGCAGTCGGCGAGAGATACCTGCGAGAGGGTAGCACCCCCGCGGTGAAACCTGCGACCGCAGTAGTCTCCGTGGGCCAGGGGATCGCTCGGCGACCGCGTTCGGATATCCTCGGTGCCTCATCCCGCCGACGACGTCGGGCCCGACTGACGATCCCGATTCTCGTCGCGTTCACTGTTGGGCATCCGCGACACGTGTCTCGCGGCCGTTGTTATGTGCATACCGCTGCGGGAAGGAGGGTGAAGTGTTGCGGAGCACGCGAGTGAGACTGAGATACCAAGGAGAGGAGTCCCGCGATCCGCCTCGCGGTAGGTGCCTCCGATAACTTCCTCCGATGCGCCCTTGCTCAGGGGGTGTTAGTTGCACGTGGTGCGAACTCGACGATCTCTGACAAGAGCTTCGCGGCGGACACTGGGAGCTGCGCGCGTCAGCCAGCTAGAGCAGCGAGAAGCGAGGGATCCATCGTCGACGAGTGCCTGCCAAGGTCGCGGACGACGAGGACCATGAAGAAATCGTACTTCGTCTTCGTGAGTACCTGAAGTTGCTTCATTCACGCGGAATCGGGGCAGACGACTGGCTATATGCTGCGTTTAACGGTCACGTAGTGCGAATGAAAAGCAAGAGGAGAGATCGCCCTCTTGCTCTTCGTCGGCCTGTCTCTTCATTTTTTTCCCCATCTCACCCTGATCGTTGTCACTCGTCGAGGGTTAACGGGAAGAGGTCGGATCTCTCGGGACCGGGGCGCATTTTACGGTCGTACCCAACTCTTGCTTGTTTCGCGAGGAAGATCAAAGGCCACCCAGCGTCGCTTTAATCTGCCAATGGCGGACGTAGCTGCATCTTTCTCATTTCCCTTTGAGTGGCTGAACTTTTGAATGCGGTCTCGGGGGGAGGGGGGGGGGCGGGGGATAGAGGG